AGGAAGCTGAACATGAGCCAGCAGTGTGCCCAGGTGGCCAAGAAGGCCAATGGCATCCTGGCCTGGATCAGGAATGGTGTGACCAGCAGGACCAGGGAAGTGATTCTTTCCCAGTACTCAGTGCTGGTGAGGCCACACCTGGAGTGCTGTGTCCAGTTCTGGGCCCTTCAGTTCAGGAAGGATATTGAGGTGCTGGAGCAGGTCCAGAAAACAATGAGGCTGGTGAAGGGACTGGAGCACAAGTCCTATGAGGAGAGGCTGAGGAAGCCGGGGTTGTTTAGCCTGGAGAAGAGGAGGCTCAGGGGAGACCTCATCACTCTCTACAACTCCCTGAAAGGAGGTTATAGCCAGATGGGTGTCAGTCTCTTCTCCCAGGCAGCTACCAGTAAGACAAGAGGGCACGATCTTAGGTTCTGCCAGGGGAGGTTTAGGTTGGATATTAGGAAGAAATTTTTTATAGAGAGAGTAATCAGACATTGGAATGGGCTGCCCAGTGAGGTGGTGGATATTTGCCGTCCCTGGAGGTTTTTAAGATGAGACTGGATGTGGCACTTAGTGCCATGGTCTAGTAACCACAGCGGTGTTGCATCAAGGGTTGGACTTGATGATCTCAGAGGTCTTTTCCAACCCGGTTGATTCTATGATTCTGTGATTCTGCTATTTGTCATCTTCTCCATAGTGGAGAAATCTCTGTCTGGCTAGATCTGAAAATTTAGGGCTTCTTTATCAAGTATCTTCCCTAAAACTAGCTTGCAAAATAAAGAAAATAACTCTATACATTTTGTTTCCAGTAAATTAAGTTAGTGGTAGTCAATCCCTTCCTGCGTTGAAAAGAGCAGTTTCGAGACAGAGGTAAATTCTGAGTACAGTTGGATATATGAAAGCATTCTTCCTCTTTTCCTCTCTCAAGATATTTATTCTTTCTCTCAATCAAACTGAAGGTCAAAAACATCATTGGGAAGGACTTTATTAATTTTGGTGAATTTTGTAATAGGTGGTTTATTTAGTGTGTGTTAAAGTTGATTTCTGGGAAGTAAATGAATGAATAAATCCTGTTCCAGAAGAATTTTCCAGGATTCTCAGCACATATAATGGCACTTCCGTTATTGAGTACTTTTCACGGGTCTTGGTTGAGACAATCTGTGTGAGGTCATTGAAATACAAAGGCATTTTCTTTCCAGCTTTTAAATAATCACTTGGTTATAAATCCAACAATGGTTTTGCCTTTGAACTTCTGTGGCGGTCTTTGTTAGCATGTGGTTTGAAGGTCATAATTTATTTTCCAGATTGTCAATTTTATGATCAAAATAATGTAATCTTTTCTAAATTACACAAATGTTTGCAGAAGCCCCTACAGAGGCTTCTCTCTTTTCATCTCTTCCAAACTACAGGCTTAATACACTGAAACAACTCTTCACTGCTTCCCAAACTCTATTTCTGCACACAACGGCTGAAATCTTAGAACTTTCTGAGCTAAATCTGTAAGCTTTCACTGCAGTCACTCTTCTTCAAACTGACTATTCACTGTAGAGCATCTGGCCTTGCTAAAAATCAATCGTTTCCTTCTCAGAGCCTAACATTATCTAATTTTAATGACAGTTACACAAGTCCAAAACTGTAATATATATATATTCATTGATTCAGGTTAGGGTTGGCACTGAGATTAATTGATATTTTACACAGTTTTCCTCATAGAACAAAAGTGCGTGATATTTATTATTAATCTTATTTTCATTTGTTTGCTGAATTGTAATTTGGTTACAATGAAATGCTCAAGGACTAATGGATGACTAACCATTTAGTCCTTTCAAGATTACTCCACTACCGTAGTTTGTGATAGACTCCACATCCCTATATTAGATGCACTGCTCAATTCAGCCTTTCACCCTCAGAAATTCTCTAGTTGACCTTTATTGGAATAACATTTCAGCTCTCAAGCAAGCACGGCATAAAACCTTCTTTACCAAATGCTAATGGAAGCTACTTATGATCACATTCTATCCTAAAAACTTGAGTTTATACTTCTTTAAAAAAAATGACATTTCTGATTCATGGAATAATGCTATTAGAAAGATTTTAATCATGATAAAAATGGTTTCTTGTTAGCATTCACTTAAAGAACAGGTTCTTAAAATTCCTTAAATACGTTGGTCCTGAAACTTGGTTTCCCAGTCTAAGAATGAGATCATGGTTCAGAAATTGCCTCTGATTTCTTACAGCTTTGTGTATACACCAAAGAAACAAGTTATCTGCATATTCTCCATTCATAGCAATGAGAACATTTTTCTGCAGGAATCTTCTCTCATATTTAGGGCACTCTTGATGTTAAAAAGAAAATAGTAGCAGCTGACAGCCATAGCCATTTCTAAGTTTCCTGTCTTCCTTTTCATGGGTACAAAGAACTCCAAAAGATACTTCTGCCAAGCAGCTGAATGAATAATGCACATCCTCAGTGAGGACAAGGCCCAGCCACAGAGTGGGGGCCTTGGCTGGACACCAGGTGACCACCAAGTCACATTATTCCATGCAACCATTTTTACACTTTCCCTCTGGCTCAAGGGAAGATCCAGAGTAAAACCTGGTCTGGAACATCTCCTGGGTGATGGCACCCAGTTCTGGTTGGTTTCCTCACCTTGTGGACCATTCTCAGAGCACTTTTTTTGTGACGAAGATGGACTGCCTGTTGTGAAAGTCTTAAAGCACAGTCTACCCTAAGTGCACAGTCTTATCCTTCACCTTCAAGAAATTATGTTCCAGCTTAAACTCTACCAAAAATGTCCCCAGACTGTCCCATATTCACTCAAGTGGTTGGATATACAATTTACAATTCAGTGAGGGTCAGGGTACTCAAGCATTCCTATAAATTGTCTGAAAGGTTTGCTCTCAGCTTATCTTCTTTGTTGATGATTCACGGGAGGAAGAATTTCTTAAACACTGATTTCCAGCTGATTAACTTTGACTTTATCCTCTCCTAACCTGATATCTTCTAAAACTGTCTAAATCCTTGTTCTATCCCTTCCTTGGTGGAAGTGCTATTGCTTTCAGACAAAAAGAGTATCTGAGAATTACCCCTTTTTAAATTTATTTTCAATTCCTCAATTTTAAAAAGGTCAGAAGGTCTGTGTGAGAATGGGATCATACTTAGTAGGAACCTTGAAGAAGTTTTTAAAAGTTGTAGCTCTTTTTTTTCATAGAAAAAATCACAGGGTAATATTTCAAAATATTTTGGCAAGAAAAAGTCTCATCTTCATCAGTGAGTTCCTATATTCAGAAAACTACAGAATCATAGAATATACTGAGTTGGAAGGGACCCACAAGGATCATCAAGTCCAACTCCTGGCCCTGTGCAGGACACCCCAAGAGTCACACCATGTGCCATAGACTGTCATCCAAATGCTTCTTGAACTCTGTCAGGCTTGGTGCTGTGACCACTTCCCTGGGGAGCTTCTTCCAGCACCCAGTCACGCTCCAGGTGAAGAACCTTTCCCTAATTCTAACCTAAGCCTCACCTGACACAACCCTCGGGTCCTGTCACTGTTCACCAGAGAGAAGAGATCAGTGTCTGCCCCTCCTCTTCCACTCACGAGGAAGTGGTAGTCTCCTCTCAGTCTCCTCTTCTCCAGGTAGAACAGCCTCAGCCACTCCTCATAAAGCTTCCCCTCCAGATCCTTCACAATCCTCGTATCCCTCCTTTGGACACTTTCTAATGGCTTAATGTCTTTTATACGGTGGTTCCCAAAACTGCACACAATATTCAAGGTGAGGCTGCACCAGGGCAGAGCAGAGCAGGACAATCCCCTCCCTTGACTGGCTGGCGATACTTTGCCTGATGCTTTCCAGGACGTG